TAATTGTTTTTCTTTTGCATGTGTTTTGTCTCCCCAGTTGGAAGGTCAGCACTTCAAGAAGAAAGACTAGTATATTTCCAAGAATCTTCAATGTCATTAACCTTAGTAGACACATTATATTTATTAACTTCCCAGCCTTTCCCCTATGACCTCAGAAATCACTTGTTTACATATTTTCCTTCTTAACATTCTTATAAAAATTCCCATTCTGCATTTGAAGTATTTTCGTACATACTTGGTGGATCAGCACTTTCATCTCCAGAAGTGTCTGAAGTTGACAACAGCTATCAAACAGGAGAAAAATTAATAAATAAAATCAGAAATCTCAAACAACCTAAACAAAGCAACATTAAGATAAGTTTCCCTTAAGAAATATATAAACTTTTTGGAAAACTGGGTGATTTACATAATACTTCACTTTGCTTTATTTTACCTTAATCATCAAAAAATGTCTGTGAACTTCAACTACTTCTGAATTAGAATTGAAGTATTTCTAGTTTCAGTAAAGTACAAAAAACCATTAATGATTTCTCATTCCATTTAGAGAGTCTTATTTCAGCTGGATCACTCTCAGAGATTTCAAATTCCTGACAAGTTATTTTTTGTGTGCTTTTCTAGAAAAGATGGAGGGGACACTGAAGATCCTGCTCCAACTCCACTACAACCTATACACTATGTTCGGTGATTTTCAAAACAACAATCTTTTCTTAAAAACCCTAAACAAACAAGGTAGTTACAAAAATAAAAATTAAAGGTATCAATATGTATACAAAACCTGTAACTATAATAAGAAAACAAATGTTAATATCACTTCTAGTAATATTTTTTAAGTATTATTTAGCAAAATTAAATGTTGTCAATTATAAAAATTTACCTGTTCAAGAAGATGAGGATATCTAGCTTGAATCTCATCAACAAACTCCTGTCCTTTCATGCGTATCAAGAACTCACACCTAAAACATAAAAGGAAAATTATTTTTTAAAATTGTTTTATACCAAAAATATTGGGTTGTTGGAAAAGTCATGATGCATTTTTGCAACGAAAAACAGAAAAAATACGTCATGACTTTTCCGACAACCCAATATAACCTGATCATTTTAGAAAAGTGACGTTCAAACTCTTAGTATGCCACAGTATGAACACTAAATCACAAACCTAGTACACACATCCATAACAGGAACAAAATTCTCATAAAATACTACAGACTCTTACTACTATGTGTTGATGCATTCTGATATTTTCTATTTAATCCCATTAATACAGTAACAATAAGAGGGTTTAGACCTACAAAGGAGCACAAGCTGAGGCTTGAAAAATGCTGTTCTACACAATTTACTTTTGAGGCGTAACAAGTTTCAGAAACTATTAATTCGGTATTCCTAAAACATGATCTTCGCAATATAACTGCTAATCTTTCTCCAGTGTCCACTCTCCCATTAAATTTGAAGCACAAACCCTCCCTCAAAAAATACTGAATCATATCTATACATAATGTGACAATGTTTCCCAAAAACCCATTTTCAAACTACTAGGGCTTCTCAAAGGTGTTCCAGGAAGTTCAAATCATATCTGTTTCCAATTCATTCCTTGTGTTTTTCAACAAATGGTACTAGACAAACTATACATCCATGTGCAAAAAGCAATGAAGCTTGATCTACGCCCATACTGTATACAAAAATAAACTAAAAATAAATCATACACATAAACATAAAATAATTATTTCTAGTAGAACACATAGGAGAAAATCTTTTTGTCAGTTTAGGTATAGTACAATCCATAAAAGACAAAATTGATAAATGGACATCATAAAAATTAAAAACTTCTGGGCACCCAGTTGGTTTAGTTGGTTAGAGCACAGTGCTCAGAACACCAAGGTTGCCGGTTCAATTCCCACATGGGCCAGTGAACTGCGCCCTCCACAACTAGATTGAAAACAATGACTTGACTGGGAGCTGATGGGTCCTGGAAAAACACACTGTTCCCCAATAAAGTTAAAAAAAAAATTAAAAACTTCTGCTCCTCAAAGTCACTGTTAAGAAAATGAAAAAAGCCACAGATCGAAAGTTTGCAAAAACACATCTGATAAAGGACTGGATCCAGAGGACATTACAAACTTGCAAAATTTAATGATTAGGGAGCATTTTCTCCATCTGTTGAGATTTTGCTTCCCGACAATT